CCGCCCGGCCGGCCGGCGCCCGCGCCCCCGAGCCCGGTTGGCCGGCTGGCTGCCCGCCCCGGCGCCGCGCCGCCGGCCCGTTCCCCTGCCACGGCCCGCCACCCGGCCTCTGCACTCACCCTGCTGTAGGGCGCCGGCCGGTTTCTGCCGCCGCCGCCCGCCGCGCCGCGGGCGATGGCCGGCCGGTTCCGAATGGGTCCGCCGCCTCGGTTCACTCGCGCTGCGGCCTGCGCCCCGCCTCCGCGGCCGCCCTGGGAGCCAGCCCGGCCGCGGCCCCTGCCCCCGCCGCGGCCGCCGCGCTGGCTCCGGTTCAGTTTAATGATGTCGTCCAGAGACATATCCATTTTGTCGGCCATGGCGGGCGCGGAATCGGCCTCGGCTTGAGCCCGCGCGTCAGCACGTCGGCGCGTCACTTCCTGCGCCGCGCGGGGTTTTCCGGTGACGCGTCCTCGGAGCGGCCGTGGATTGGCTGTGGGTCGGTGGCGTCGGCAAGGAGCGAGGCGGCGCGTGCGCGCTGGGCCAAGGGGCTCGGCGGGCGCCGTTGAGAATTGCCGGGCTGCGGCCGCAGTCGTTTACATACCTTCCCGCGCGGCGCCGGCGCTGCCAGCTGAAGGCGGTTGGGGCAGCGCGCGATTAGGTCGGCGGGGGTGAGGCCGTTGGGGCGGGGCCGGGCGTGCCGACCCTCCCTTGCTCCTCCCTTGCCCCTCCCCCACCGCACCCAGACCCCGCACCCCAGTCCCGCGGCGGGGAGGGTGTGCGGCTCGCGCGACCTGGCCCGGGGTTGTTACGGCGTGACCTCGTAGGGAGCGGGCCGGGGTCTCCATCTCTCACCCCGTCAGTCATGTCCCTTCCAGAAGTTGCGCAGAGCACGTTTTTGCAATTGTTAACGGAATCTGACGCGCTTTTCTCTGGACGCCCGCGCAGAAGTGCGGTGTTGCCAGACGCCTTGAGCGTCCCGGTCTCCCGAGGAGTCGGTCCCAGCCCCAGCCCCCTTGTAGACAGCTTGTGCTGCCCTTCGGCGGCGACTCTTGCCTCCGCTGACCCTCTGGCTCGGGGCGGCACTCCTTCTTTGGCTCCCAAGTGCTGTAGCTCTGCATACTCAACGGAGCCCGGTGGTCTCTTTCCTCCCCGCAGGCTTCCCGCGCCATGAAGGTGAAGATCAAGTGCTGGAACGGCGTGGCCACTTGGCTCTGGGTGGCCAACGACGAGAACTGCGGCATCTGCCGGATGGCCTTCAATGGCTGTTGCCCGGACTGTGAGTGCCCCCTGCCCGCTCTCTCGAGTTTTGCCTACCCTCCGGCCTTGGCGTGTCCCTAGAAATACCTGCACAGCGTCCCTAGGGTTTGGTTTCCTTTCCCCAAGAAAAGTTATTAGAGAAAAGCCAGGCTATTTGGGCCCATATTTGTACAAAGACCCCGTCAAAAGTTTTGTAAGGAAAAGAGCACAGCTTCCCATCCTGATGGAAGTCGCTATGAGACACGTGGAACAAAAAGTTGTGTTAAAACCTTTATTTGAAAATTCTCAAGCGAACACAACAACGTAATGTTATAAGGTCATCCCCCCATGCAGCACATAGAGCAGTAACATGTGTCCGTATTTGTTTTTGCCCAGATGTTTTAAAGTTAATGCTAAACATGAAGCCTCACCCCACTCACTTCAGCTGAGTCTCTAAATGTAGTACTGACTTTTACCCACCACTGTTGTCACATCAGATAACATGATGATAGTTCCTTACTGTTGCCCCTCATTCCTAGTCCTTATTCAGATTTCTTTAGTTGTTTCCAAATGTCTTTTTTTTTTTTTTTCCCGGTACGCGGGCCTCTCACTGTTGTGGCCTCTCCCGTTGAGGAGCACAGGCTCCGGATGCACAGGCTCAGCGGCCATGGCTCACGGGCCCAGGTGCTCCGTGGCATGTGGGATCCTCCCAGACCGGGGCACGAACCCGTGTCCCCTGCATCCACAGGCAGACTCTCAACCACTGTGCCACCAGGGAAGCCCCCGAAATGTCTTTTTATTATTGGGTGGTGTGAGCCAGGACCCAAGGTGTGATCACTTTGTCCCTTCGCTACTTAATCTAGAGCAGTTCTGTTTCGAGTTCTCTCTCCCTTTTTAAAAAAGACATCTAGTTATTTCTGAAAGTGTTGTCTTGCAGAATGCCTGCGTTCGGGTTTTATCAGATTTCTTCTTGGTGGTGTCTTTTGCATTGTTCCTTTGTCCCCACTGTATTCTGTGAAGTGAAAGTGTTTGGTTATATATTTGGGTCAGAAGCAGATTTTTGCACCAGTGAATTTAGTTTTTAGTCAGACCCAAGTGAAAGGATCTGAGGCTTTGCCTAGGGGACAAGGGTGGTCCCAAGAGAGAAGTGGGACTTGGGGACTGATGAGAAGTCAGTGACCAGGCCTGTCACTGTGGGGCTGTGAGCATTGGAATAATCATAGGTTTTTGCTTCTTACCATGAAATTGAAATTATTGAATTTTAGTGCAAATATCATTTTATCTTAGTCTTAATCTTTACATCTCCTGAGAGGAAATCTCATCACCCAGGGGCTAATCTATCCTGATTTAATCAAACAGGTGGGATATAATCTTGGGAAATCAGTGATTGGCTCTACTTGATGAGGTTTTACATAACAGGGAAGGAAAGTAGAAGCACAAGGTCTGGCTTGGTTTAATCCATTTAAAACCACCCTTCCTAAGCGCACAGCACAGGCCGTGGGTAGGTACTTGCAGCTTCCTCAGCAGCAGATTGTGACCTCTGAACAGAAAAGTCCTCGGAAGCATTTATGTGGCCATTCGCTCGGCCTAATGTGGGCCAGTGAGCCTTTGTGTCTGAGATGGCACCAGGGTCCGCATCCCAGTGTGCGGTGCTTGCTCACGTGTGCTAGCTGCTAGGAAGAGGGGCGTTTAGAGTCTGAACTTTGGACCTGCTGGTTATGAGGTTAGAGTGAGCCAGTTGTAATGAGCAAAGTGTTTGGCTAGCCCAGGGCGCTTTCTGTACAGATCAAGTGACACTGGGTTTCTCTCTGCTGAAATGGAACTCCTATGGAGAATCCAGAGTGACTCAGGCTGTCATAAATCTGCTCCTCGTCCCTGGGCTTTGGGAGTGAAAGTCTTGTTAAGAAGATTCCCCAGCACTGGCATGAGTCACTGTCGGCTTGCACTTGTGCTGTCAGATGCCCTGGCGGGCTGCCTCCAGGAGCCCTGCCTCAACCGACAGGATGGCTGGGTACCCCCACCAATAGGCTGGCTGGCCCCTGCTCACCCTCTTCCAGACTCTGTTTGTAAGGACTAATGTGTTAGGGGTGATTCCAAGCATAGTTCTGCTGAGGTTGGAAAGACCCTGGGTGGGTGGGAACCAATATAAATCAGGTGTCACACCCTGTGGGTTCCTGGCACAGAGTCCTACTCACCCCACCCCCCTGGCCTGGGAAGCAGAGAGAGTTAGATCGTTTTGTATTTGCCAAGTAAATTATTTTCTGTTTGTTTTGTCATAAAGGTTTCAGAAAGGGTGTGGCGTTTCGTTATTGAAAGGATTTTTTAAAAGATTGAGGAACACTGCACCAAACCAAAGAGTAGAAAGATGGAAGTGCCCATCCCTTCTGACTCCGTGGGGTTTAGGTACCACTCAGCCATGGTGTTATCTCTTGAACACATCGTACAGTCAACTGTCCCTGTGTTTGGTGTCAAGAGTGAGGACCAGGACCACCGGTGACCAGACCAGCCCTGTGGTCATAGGGGTTCAGACCTGCACTTACGAACCACTTCGTGGACAAGATGTACCCTGTTCACCCTGGCTTGTCCGGCTGGTCCACTGTGTCTGTGCACTAGTGACATCTGGATACAGCTTGTGCTTGATAGGCGTGAAGGGCCCCCAGGGCAATGATTTGAGGGAATGACACCCCTAAGAGAGGGTGGAGGAAGCAAGCTGCAGCTCCTTAATGCCCGTGGGGACCTGACTCGAGGCTGGGGGAGGTCATTGTGCTCTGCTGGCACCAGCTGCATGACGGGGTTTTCTAGATTCTTGAAAATCAGAGAGAGGCTAGTTTCTCTTGATGACAGGCAGTGTAGCATGCCCTCTCTGTGCCAGGCCCTCTCCACAGAGGTAGCATTTCCAGGTGTGTGGGGTGGAGTGCCAGCAGCAGGTGCCCTGGTCCTTGGAGGTAGGATCCTTTTAGGCTAGAAATGGAAAGGAAATGGAAGGTAGTGCTGTGTCACTCCCAGCTGCCACCAGCCTGGGCCATAAGCACCTCAGTGTTCCCAGCCCACTCCCTGGTACTGCACTGGGTCCCTGCTGCCTAAGGAAGGAGCCATCTAGGTCCCAAGGCCCCAGCCCACCTCCCCTTGATCAAGAGGAATAGTTCACCGCTCAGAGGCAGGTCACCTCTGCAGGCTCCCTGACACACTGATGTAACCTTCTTGGCATCACAGGTGCCAGGTGATAGTGGCAGAGCTGTGGTGTGTCTGCAGATGGGCCCAGCCCCTGGGAGGCCAGAGCTCTTCCTGCCGCTGAGCTCCCTGAGCTGCTCCCCCTTGCGAGGGGAGAGTGGAAGCAGGAGCAGCCTGGGTGGGCTTTGCAGATGTTTACCTGGGGCAGCTGCACGGCAGAATCTGTGGTTTCACTCCTGAAACCTGTCCTCTCTGAGACACAAGGCCACCCTGGGTGCACATCCCCCACCTGGCTTGTCCCGAGCTCTGTGACTCACTGGTCCTCTCATCCCTCCCGCAGGCAAGGTGCCAGGTGACGACTGCCCGCTGGTGTGGGGCCAGTGCTCACACTGCTTCCACATGCACTGCATCCTCAAGTGGCTCAACGCACAGCAGGTGCAGCAGCACTGCCCCATGTGCCGCCAGGAGTGGAAGTTCAAGGAGTGAGGCTGCACTGCCCTACTCCCCCCTTGCCCTGAGGCGGCCCCACCCCCACATTGGCTCTGGTTGGCCATGGTCTCCACTGGGACAGTCCCCTTTGGGCTGTGACAGGGTTGAAACGAGGACTGGAGCTGCGTTTGTTTTTTTCCATCACAACATTGACACTTTTATCCAATAAGTAAAACTCATTAAACCACATGAGCCTGGCCAGAGGCCTCCCGTTGCTTGTTTTCTTGGTGCTGAGGCTGCCTTGGTGTGCGCCGAAATGAAAACTCTCATGAATAAACATCTCTTTGTGTTTCCTCGAGGCCCTGAGTCACATCCCCTGGAGGAGAAGGAGCTTGGGATCAGCCAGAGGAGCCGGGGTAGGAGGGACGGGCTCAGCGGCTTGAAGAGCCGAGCCGTGGGGAGGCTTGGGGACCACTCTTCAGGCTGATAGTTAGGACCCTGGCAGGACACAGCTGGTGGCCACTGCTTTGGTTCCTCCTGCCAGTGGGCCTTCCCTGAGCAGGTGCTGGTGG